AGGGATGTGCAAAAAACTAACATAGCAGGCTTGATCACAAAGCTTTCCTTAGAAAGGCCATCCTGCAAGTTTGGCCCTTGACTGGAGTCTGGGACCTTGAATTTCGGAAGAGTTTTCACCATTTCCTGATGAGAGTGCCTCACTGTGCCTTAACTGTTTTTGCAGACAGCGTGGTTTATGCTGATCACCTACTTTCTCAGAGCTGGAATTTTGGTACATGGTAGGGAGACAGTGTCTATGGGACCAGTCTGGCATACAAATCATGGGTGCTGAGTCTCTAATGAGCTTCCCTGGTGGACAACATTTCACACGTGTTGTTACAATTCATTGCTGGGGAAATTAAGTGCATCCTGTGTGACTCCGCCTGGAGAGGATTCTTGGATGCCCGGTTCCCCCTGGACTTTGCCTTAGGCACCTTTTCCTTTGCCTGATTTTGCTTTGCATTCTTTCACTGTAGTAAATCATAGCTCTTAGTATTATTCTGTGTTGAGTCCTGTGTATCCTCCTTGAATCACTGAACCTGGCAGCGGTCTTGTGGACTCAACATACACTTTTCTCATTATTTGCCTTTTTAATGGGCTTATTGGCAGGATTTAGGAATGCAAAGTTAGTCATGTTGTTTAATTACAAATCAATTGTAAGTGAATCTACAACCCTGAAGTTTTGTAATATAATACAATTTATATTTTATAAATCACATTAACTGCTGAAAAGTTAGACAAATGGTGAATTTATGAACTCTGAAAACTGTACATACAGAAATATTTTCAGCAATAGATTTCATGTGTTATATGGTAGTTTTTTTTGTCATTGTTTCTATTTTAAAATGGTATTTAAATAAATTCTGTACCCTTATTGCCTTTGTCTAAGTCAAAAAGATTGGTTTTCTTTTTTTTTTTTGTAAGCAGGGTTAGAGTAATACAGAGTCAATTTCTCTGTGCAGCTTTTGGCAAAGATGTTTCCCTCCCATTATTGAGGGGAAAAAAAAGCATCTATTATATTTTTGGTGTCTGAAATATTGATAAACTATTTTCCCATGTTGTATATAAGATTTCTATGCAGGTTCACACAGCATGAATTCTAGCCACACGTTGTTGGTGAGTTTCAAAGCACATAGAGTTTGTCTTCCACAAGGATAAATAATTTAGAATTGCTTGAATGTTTCAGGTCAGTGATCAGATACTATTGGATACTTAAGGATGCTGGTAGATATAACCCTTAGTTCAAAAATATATATAATTCTAATGGAAATAGGTGCTAACAGAAGGAAATTTCATTTCTATTGGGAAGGAAGACTCCAACTCCAGAATACTTATAAATTTATACTTATAAATACTTATGAAATATATGGCAACTCCAGAAGCATGGTTAGTCCTTCTTGTAGTTGCTTGATAATTATTCTAGATGGGAATCAGTCTGATTTAAGATTGCCCAGTGGTTGATCTTTTATTAAAGTCAATGTAGATATCAGTTTTAAAAAACAGCATCTAATTTGAAATTTAGATTACTTGTTTAGTAAGGGCAAAAAGAAAAAACAAAAACACACATAGCAAAAAGAAAACACAGAAAACACCCACAACCAACCAAATAAAAAATCACACACACAACACATTAATACTTACATTAATACCATTAATTAAAATAACCTATACCTGTGCTCTCTAAAGGTTGTGAGCTAACTTAAAAACCAACTTGGTTGTTCCCAGTTACTGGTTTCTTTTTGATATGGTAGATATTGGGTAATTATATGTAGATGAAGGCTGTAAGCCTTCTACCCCACCTGCTGTGTACCAGGTAGTGGGTTAATTCAAACTGAATTCTGTCACTCATTTAGATACTTTTTAGCAAGCAGGCACAAAAACAGTCATGTAAACTCTTCTCTAGCTCTATGAAATTCCAATTGTCTTTTTGGTATTCTGTCAGTACCTTGTTTCAGTGGTTCACTTGAGGCATATGCAACATTATAATAGCGACAGTTCACTTTTAGTTGGAGTCAGGGAACAAACCCTGAGATAATGGGTAGAACAGGGGATGCTTTCAGAATCCTAAGCCTTAAAACACCATCCCTTAGGGTATGGTCTGTTGGATTTATAGGATTATTATACCCTGTTCATGTGAGGGAGGAGGCAACTGGGCAGTATTTCTGGACAGCCCACAAACTTCCATACCACAGTGAAAAATTATGTCTTACACATCTGTTGTTGACAGAAGATAAAGGCAGCTAGCTGAGATGCTTTTAGGAAAGGCTGCTAGATTGTGGTTTCTTGATTAGTCTCATGCCAACTCTTATGGCCTGAATGTTTGTGTCCTTCAAAATTCACATGTTGAAACCTAATCACTACTGTGGAGATATTAAGAAGGGCCCTTTTACTAAGTGATTAGGTTATGAGGGCAGAACGTTTGCAAATGGGATTAATGCCCTTAAATTAATAGAAAAGACTTAAAGGAACTGTTTGCCCCTCCTCCATGTGAAGACACACAGAAGGTGCCATCTATGGAGACTGCGCCCTCACTAGACACCAAATATGCTGGCACCTTGATCTTGGACTTGACATCTTCCAGAACTCTGAGCAATAAAATTCTGTTTACAGACTGCCCATTCTGAGGTATTCTGTTATAACCCAAATGAACAAAGATGCCAACTAAGCACCCTTCTAGAGTCGATGTCTGATTAGGGCGCTAACATGTTAACTAGTCACTCCTAGGATGGACTTAGTTAAACCTAATTGTCAGAACAGCCAAAGTAAGGACTCATATCTAAACATATGGGTAACTGGTTAGATACCAACTCAGAGCCCAGGCTATCAGCCGAACTTCCAACTTAGATCTTTGACCATGAATTCAAGTGAGCTCTTGTCAGCTACATAGCCAATCACTGCCTAACTGTTTCTTCCTGTAAATAATGTTTTACATTTAATAACTATCTGGCTATTTCACAGACAGTTCTGGAGCTTTGTGATTCAAAGGGAAAAAAATAAAGCCAACCTGGTTTTCCCATAGGAAGATGGCAGACATTTGTAGAGCATCTACTGTCCGCTGAGCCCTACAGGTGGTACAAAATGAATTAAGACATAATTCTTGCCTTCAGGGAGCTTAGATCTATTAAGGAAGGTAGAGGCACAACATAAATTGCTGTAATTCAAGACAAATTAAGTTAACTGCTACAAGAGGGAGAGAAAGGGCTGAACACCTGTTATCCTTCAGTTTTGGAGTTGCTTCCCTCTGAAAATCATTAACAGATTATCATTCTTTGGAAGCTAGCTCAAACCTGTCACAGATACATTACACCACCAAAGGACAGCATTCAGTTACTAGGCAACATTCCTAATTTGAGGTAAAGTATTTCTCTTTTCCAGGGCTTTGGGGCCTTAGTCAAAGGAGTCATCTAGAAGTGAAGGAATCTCTTGGGTACTGGTTTTTCGGGCTCTGATTTTAGGTTCTCTAAAGTTCTGGGTGATGGCTTGTTTTCTTAACTCGGGAAACTGGACGTTACCTAAAATTACAGCTATGAGAAGAGTGGTTAGGTTTATAGCACAAACACTTATGCCTTTCTTTTGTTAAATAATTTAGTGACCTGCTGTTATTTTCCTTGCCTTTAAAAATAAGCTCTCAAGCCTGTAAGGGCTATTGACAGAAACATCTAAGGACTGGCTGATAAAGGAAATTGAATTACTGCATTAGTACTGCATTGATTAGTACTTCTTAACACGAATTGGAATTGTACATACATTTATTAGTCATGCTGTAGCTCATTCTCAAATCTTTTTGAAATTTATTGAACTTCTAATTTTGTTTTGGATAGATACAGGGACAATAAGGAGAGTGTGAATGCTTTAACTGAGTTTAAGGAAGTAACAGTGTTTTATACCCACTAAATGTGGCCATGGTAATGTGTGTTTTTTTTCTTTTCTTTTGGAGACGGAGTCTTACTCTGTCACCCGGGCTGGAGTGCAGTGGCACAATCTCAGCTCACTGAAACCTCCGCCTCCCGGGTTCAAGCGATTCTCCTGCCTCAGCCTCCCGAGTAGCTGGGACTACAGGCGTGTACCACTACGCCCCGCTAATTTTTGTATTTTTCATAGAGACGGGGTTTCATCATGTTGGTTGGCCAGGATGGTCTCAATCTCTTGACCTCGTGATCCACCCGCCTCGGCCTCCCAAAGTGCTGGGATTACAGACGTGAGCCACTGCTCCGAGCCGCATATGTGTTGTTAATTACAGAGAAAATAACACTTGTTGCATATGTTAGAATCTTTTTTTTTTTTTTTTTTTTTTTTTGCCGAGATGTAGACTCGCTCTGTCTCCCAGGTTGGAGTGCAGTGGCGTGATCTCAGCTCACTGCAATCTCCACCTCCCGTGTTCAAGCAATTCTTGTGCCTCAGCCTCCTGAGCAGCTGGGACTACAGGTGCATACCACCATGCCTGGCTAATTTTTATATTTTTTAGTAAAAACGAGGTTTTGCCATGTTGGCCAGGCTGGTTTCAAACTCCTCACCTCAGGTAATCGGCCTGCCTCGGCCTTCCAAAGTGCTGGAATTACAGGTGTGAGCCACTGCGCCTGGCTTAGAATCTTGATTAAAAGTATTTATCAAGATGATCTCATGCTAAAGAATAAGGAGGACAGTTTTAAGTATCTTGACATATTTTTCTAGCTGATCACAGCTTTTCATGAAGATATGACCACTGTGCTTGGCTAATCAAGACCGTGTTTGGTTCTATTCCTAGAGCAAAACCAAAACAAAATGTTGTTACCATTACTTCCCTTTCCCGTTCTTGTTTTTCGTGTTAGAGTAACTATCCTTGTCTTGCATCAGTCTACTTAACAGCACCAGTGTTAATGGAATACAACAGCCTGATGAATTTTCATTTTGCTCCTTTTGTTTGATTTCCTATCAGAATGCTAATGTTTGCCGTAATGTAGCCAGAATGTTTCTAGTTCCTGAATTAATTTTTTATTTATGCATTTACATCTAGTCTAATTGTATTTGATTCTTTTACAGGAATTTTAAACAGCTATCAAGTAAAATGGAATTTATGACAATTAATGGAACAACATTAAGGAATCTGGAAATCCTACAGAATCAGGTCAGGCAACCATAAGGGCTAGTTTATTATAAATGGTTTTGGAAAAACTTCTGAGTAAGGCAACGGTCTGTTTTTAGAGATGCAGGTGAAAATGTAGTGTCTTTAGCTGACTGCACTATTAGTTGATAACTGTAGCACTCTTTGGAGAATGAACTGTACATAATACTTCTCTGGGTTTTTTTTGGGGTAATGATGGAGCTGTCCTTTTTAATGACTGAGGGGCATGCTTATCCTGACAATTTCTGTAACGTCATCTCTATATCAGGTAGTTTTTTGGAAAGGCATTGTCACTGAAAATTAATATGAAGTGGATTTTTTTTTTTTTTGTCTACTTGGTTATATTTTTTCTATATACCTTTAACTTTTTGTTGAAAAGTTTGCAGTCTTATTTCATTATTCAGGTTATAAAACAGGTTTCTGGGATATTCATTTTGACTGTAAGATTTATAACATTTCAGTTCACAAACTTTTTTTTTCTTCTTCTTGGAGACGGAATCTCGCTCTGTTGGCCAGGCTGGATTAAGTGAAGGGACACCATATTGGCTCACTGCAACCTCTGCCTCCCAGGTTCAAGTGATTCTTCTGCCTCAGCCTCCCGAGTAGCTGGGATTACAGGCACCCACCACTACGCCTGGCTAATTTTTGTATTTTTAGTAGAGACAGGGTTTCACTATGTTGGCCAGGCTGGTCTTGAACTCTTGACCTCAGGTGATCCACCTGCCTCGGCCTCCCGAAGTCCTAGGATTACAGGCGTGAGCCAACACACCCGGCCTCAGTTCACAAACTTTCATTGTTTATTTGTCCTTTGTTGATGAATTAGGAAGATAACAGGGAGATTAAAGTTACTGCTTTCATTTATTAAACTATCACTTGGGAAGATGAGATATTATATTATAACATTAATGTTATCCTAACAAAATCATAAAGATAAAAAGCAACCCCACATCATTTGATTAAGTAGTGGAGAATCATCTGAACCATCTGAGTCAAAGGAGTTAAAATTCTCCAGAAATATTTATTACTATTGCAAATTAAAGTAAACACTGAATTTATTCCCCTGACTCCTGAATCTGCATATTATTAACTAGTGTCTCTCAATTTCTTCCTGTTCCAGTCTGTTCTAGTATTCTGAGTTCAGATGTATTTTTGTTCAATAACATTTTTATCTTGTCATCATCCAAAAGCTGAAAATCTGTCCTGCAGGTCTCTCTCATCAACTCTGTAGCCATCTCCATGATAGGAAATAAGTAGTAGGAATAAAGAGACATTTCTTGACTGAAGGAGTGCTCACAGTCAGCCTGCAGCCAGCCGTGGCATTGTAAGCGTTCCTTGCTTCTGTGCATCTTACCTGTTCAAATCCTACTACAACAGAGTCAGTTCTGAAATCAAATTCCTAAGGCAGAAATCATCTAGAGTCAAAATACCCTTCAAAATTCCTTCCTTTATTGGGGCTTGCACCATTTTAGAAGCAGAAGCTGAGAATTAACATCTTCTGCTTGTCTTTGTACCTCAACTTCACCCCCACCACCCCCAACCTTTCCAAGGAGCAATGGAAAGAGGTACAGGGTAGGAGTTGGGTGTCAGCGAGAACAAGGATATAATAGGACACATGTCTCTCGCACCTCTCTTGTCTGAGCCTGCTTCTCCAGGGGTGTCAAGGAATTGCCTTCCTCACGGGACCCTTTACCCCAGTCAGGCCAGTCAAGCTCTGGTCTCAGGAGCAGTGCTGCTCCTGATCTGAACTGCCCTCCTCAGCCTGTCCAGCCATCCTCAGAGGAACCTTTGTGACCTTGTACCTTCTCTGTGTTCTCTGCATTGAAATCCTGAGACCTGAGAGCTTATGTCACACCTTTTCTAGTTGATTGCTGGCAGGTGGCATTGTGTCCTAATTATGAGCCTTTTTCCAACTTGGCTATGAACACTCTGAGGGCAGGACCATGTCCTTGCTATGTTCAGCACATAGGAGGTACTCTGGAAGTAGCTACTTACAGAGGAGAAGGAAAAAAGACAAGACAAAAAAACTCAACTCAAGTGGAAACAGCCATTTTAGGTCTCAAGATTTAAATGTCTCAGTGGGTTTTGTAATACTACTGTGAAACCTTGGTTAGAATTAATTATGTCTAGTTAATTGTGATTTTTTTTTGTAAGGACCCAAATTTTAAGTGGCAAAAGCAAACGTTTCTAGGGATTTAGTAAAACAAACTAAAATAAAATCCTTCCTGGGTAAATAACTAGAGTGCAGTGCAGGTTCATATCTATCTCCAGCACCTTGTTCAGTGTCGTGAGAGCATTGGTTTATAAAATGGTAACTGAAAAACCAAAGGAAAATTAAATCATCTTCAATATATTGTATTTCCCAAGGCAGGAAAGTGTGCAATTATATTTTAAAGATGCTTGAATAAGCATACATTTCAAAATAATCTTCTGAATAATTTATTCTTAGGTAACCAAAAACTACAAACGATCCCTTTTCTGTGTAAAATATCAGTCCTTCATTCTGTGTGTATGTATTCATCTGTCAAACATTAAATGAACACCTGTTATAAGCCACATTGTGGTAGGTATATATGACATTTAGAATCGGGGTATATGAAATAACCATTTGGCACAAATAATTGTCTAGTTAATAAAACTTGTTTTCTGGTCTTTCTTAGACTGATATGAAAACCAAAGGAAGTTTGCTGTGGGTTTTAGACCACACTAAAACTTCATTTGGGAGACGGAAGTTAAAGAAGTGGGTGACCCAGCCACTCCTTAAATTAAGGTAAAGGGAATCCTTTTTGGGGTGTTTAATCTGAAATTATAAAATTGTGAAGTGAAAGGCATCTCTTAAAACCAAGGTTACCATTATTTCTAAGAACACAGTTTTAAATTGGGTAACATTTTATTTTATAACTGAGCAATAGACTGGCTGTCTAGTATTACAGGGATTTTTTTCCCCCATTCTCATGAATGAGCCTGCTTGCAGATTGGCAGACATAGGGCATTGCCCAAGGATAGTGAGGAGAGATGCGTTTTGTGGAGGACTTTGAAGGCTAGGCTGAGGAGTTCATAGCCAGAGGGAGTTCATTCAGTGATTCTGAGCATGGGGCTGATATGATCAGAGCTGGGCTTATGTGCAGGAGGGGACTGAGTGGTAGTGGTGGTGGGGTCAAGTTAGCAAGTTCAGGGAGAGATGCCGAGAACCCGAGCTACAGCAGTAACAGCAAGGAGTCCAAAAGAGGGGGTAGGTGTGAAATGCTTAGAAGAGTAAAGTGAGTAAACTTGGAGCTCCCTAAGGGAAGATACTTGAATCCAGTGCCTAACATACAGTGATTTCCAAGGTTGTCTGCATGTTGTCTGCATGTTGGAATCACCTGGGATGCATCACAAAATACTGATGCCTGTGTCCAGCCCCCATAGATTGTGATTTAACTGGTCTCCAGCATGACCAGGGAGTTGAGATTTAAATTTTACCCAGATGATTCTCATATGCAGATAAATGTGGAGATTCTGACCTAGAACAGTGCCTGGCACTTAGTAGTTTATGTTTATGTTTATTGAATGAAAACTGTTATTTATTGCACAGTTTCTATTTACTGGTGTTTAATACTGAAAATCACCTTCTGAGATAGGTCCTTGAAATGAGGAAACAGATTCAGAGAGCTTCACTAACTTGCTCAGTGTTTCACAGCTGATAGAGCTAAGTATCAGATTTAAAACCAGCATTGACTCCAGAGACCTTAGCAGGAACAAGCCATTATCCTGAATAGTTACACCTCTGGCTAGACCAGAGTGAATATGGTGTGGTGGTGAAGAGAACTGCTATGTGTTGGCTCTGTCAACTGAGTGAGTCACTCCCACTAATCCTCAGTGGTCTCACCTTTGACATGGTGGAACACCTCATCATAGCATTGCTGTAAGGAATAAAGTTTTGAGCTCTTTATCTCACACCACACAGTACACTAGGAGCTTTATGAGCATTGTCTCTTTTAAACTGCACAGAGCCTCACTACACAGATGCTGTTATTAGCCCCATGTTACTCTGTGATTAGTAAATAGTCACTATCTTCAAGAAAGGATTGCAGATGTTAATGTTGGTCGTAGGCTTGAAGACACTGTTTCGGGTTTTGCTGCTGTTTTCTTCTCTTTCTTTTGCAAGGTGTTTTACTTACAATGTCAACTTTAAAAGGTCACTAAAGTTAACTGAACAATAATCTAGGCAGACATCACTTTACAAAAAAAGAGGGAAAGCTCAAAATGCCCTTTTCTATAGAGAACCCACAGTACAGTTTTATTCAGGGCAAAGAAAAAAGAAACTTGATCAAACTATGAGAAACTCAGCCATAGGTTTGGAATCTGTACTCACACCACACATTCACTGAGGATAATATTCTGCTCACACAATTGATTTGCTGCTGTGTTTCTCTGCTCTTTGTCTGATATTAACAATTATAAACAGAGCAGGGCAGCTAGTATTTGGAATAATCCTTACAGTGTGATGGCATCAAGGACATTTCACTTCTCTTCATACCACTGGTTCTCTTGGTGTACGTGGGTTTCCTCTTCTTCAGTAAAGTCATTTTTGATATTGGAAGTCTTGCAAATCTTCTCAGGACTTTTCTCCTTGATCATATTGGCAACAGTCTTGCTTGTAACATCAAGCAAACCTTTGATGTCTAAGTAGTTTGCAGGCAGAAGAAGTACAGAAAGTATTCCTTGATTGACTTTCAGGAATTCTTGGTCCTAAGGAGGGATCTCCTCTGTTCGTTTTCTTTGTTCGCATCATCCTTGGGAGGAGGAGGTCCATTTTTGTGGTGGGTGCACCACCAAATGACCTTTTAAAAATATTGCTACATTGACATTTGGTAGAGGAGCTGCGTCATTATCTCCATCATCCATTCTCAAGTCTTCCAGCATGGTCTTGATAGTCACAGATTGTTTGGCAATTTCCACATCAAATATCTCCCCATCAGAACTCAGCACCTTAATTGACAGCATGGTGTTTGAGCTTAAGGAGACCACTGGCCAGAGGCTTATGAGAGCAGGGCGGCGTCAGCAAAGAAGAGGAAGGCAGAGGATAAGGACACTCAAGACACTGTTTGGATGACGATAATTACCAAATCTTTTCAGATTTAGTGGGTCACTCCGATTTCTTAGCCGTAAAGACCTTAAGACATGGGAAACTGGTGAGATAAAGAAGAAATCCTGAAAATGGAAATATTTCCTTTAGTTCAGCATTCTAATGAAATAAGCAGACCTCAGAGAGCAAACGCAGACAAGATGGCTTTCTGTGGACAACAGTGTAAGGGATGCAGCATTGTGGCTGCTGGAAAGGCTGCCTAAACATCTACTACAATTCTTACTGTGTTTTTGCTTGCTTGTTTCAGCAGAGACAGACTCACTAGCAGACTTTTTCATGTAAATTAAAATTTTTTATTTCCAATGTTACATTTCCTTTCTTTTGTGTACCCAGGATTAATTTGAGATAAATCCACTAGACCATGTTGTCTGTTGTTAAGGGCCGAATCAAGTATCTCTGGGGATCCTACCTTTCCAGAAATGCAGAGAGAAAATATGCCAGGCATTCAACACTAATGTTTTCAAGTATGAACTTTTCACTGACCTAACATTGATGTTAGCCAAAAACAAACACATGAAACTTTTCTTTGCCCTTTTATTTTGGGTCATGGTTTTTAAACTTTTATCCTCCTAATCTATTAAAATCTATTTCAAAAGAATTCCAGTTTAATTTTATTGGCACTTGCAACTTATTCCAAACAAATACCTGGAGAGAATCTGCTGATTAGTCAGTGGCTCAGCTGTATAATTAGTCATGTACCGCATGACAACATTTTGGTCCTTGGGGGAATTGCATATACAGAGGTGTTTTCTCTATTTAGAAATGTTTAGACACACAAACACTTACCATTGTGTTACAGTAGCCTACAGTATTTAGTAGAGTAACATGCTGTCCAGGTTTTAGCCTAGGAGCACTATACTGTACCATATAGCCTAGGTGTGCAGTGGGCTATACTATCTAATTTTATGTAACTATATGCTCTGTAATGTCCATAGAATGACAAAATTGCCTAACGATGCATTTTCCAGAATGTATCCCCATCATTTAGTGAGGAGTGATGGTGGTGGTGTTTATACTAACGTAAGTGCTTTGCTGATCACATCAGTGGCTCATCCAGACTAATATTCTGTCTCTGACATTGACAGCCAAAGGTAAGTTTAGGGTCTGGTTTTCTTCTACAGTGAGATCATAGAACAAATAATAGATGACGAGGGAATTTAGCAAAATAATGCAGATCTCCCCAGGTTTTACAACATCCCATTGTTTGTCAGTCATCCATGAATTCTCCTAAATCCCTTAAACTCCTCTGTGTTTTTGTCTTGTTCTGGCTCTTAAGGGCAAACACATAGTTCATAAGTCTAGGACCAGGCATTCAAGTTTCAGATTTTCCACTGCCATCACCTTTTATTCTATGAAATGGTCTCTTTAGTGCAAAATTTTACTAGTGACTTTTAGAAAGTAAAAATGGTTTTTACTTTATACTTACTGACTGATTCAGAGAGTTCACTTGATTATTGAGGCTAGATTTTACTGTACTGATATCACATTCACTTTTATAAATAGGTTATTTTTTCTTATGTGTTCTCACCTGTATTTTTTATCAGTTCTGCTAATTTTAGGCAAGAAGATTGTTCAATGTAGTTTTTTTTTTTTTTTTTTTAGATAAATGAATGTCACATTGGCATGCCATTATTCTTAAGGCCTTTTAAAATTAAATAGATTATATTGAATTCATTTTTTTGAGGTTCTGTCTTTGGACTTCTTTCAGTTGATATAGTCTTGTCAATCTTTTATTTATACACACACACACACACACACACACCCACACCCACCTGTATGTATGTCATTGGTTTTATCAAAAAGCCTGAAAATGCAAATTCTGCTTGTAAATATTGGTAGAGGAGAAAAAAAGAAAACCGTGAGACGAGTCTGTGTACCAGACTCATTGGTGGGATATATGGGATGAGTCTCTAAAATGTTGAGTTAAGCAAAATAATTAGTTTCCAAGGCAGATTTGTTTATCTTAGAGGTATTCCACTTTCAGTAGCATACTATATATTTTAAAAATAAAAATAAATTTAGTTTCTTTCATGAGTACCTCTTCTGCCTGTACTTTACATTTTTTAATTTAAAAAATTTATGAAGTTTTATCGTTAATTGACAAATAATTGTATATATTTGCATTAGTCAGGGCTCTCTACAGGGAGAGGACTATTAGGATAGATGTATATAAGGAGTATTGACTTACATGATCACAAGGTGAAGTCCCATCATAGGCTGTCTGCAAGCTGAGGGGCAAGGAAGCCAGTCCGAATCCCAAAACCTCAAAAGTAGGGAAGCCAACAGTGCAGCCTTCAGTTTGTTGCCAAAGGGCAGAGTCCTGGCAAACCACTGGTAGGTCCAAGAGTCCAAAAACTGAAGAACTGAGAGTCTGATGTTCAAGGGCAGGAAGAATCCAGCATGGGAGAAAGATGGAGGCTGCAAGACTCAGCCAGTCTAGTCCTTCCACGTTTGTCTGCCTGCTTTTACCCTAGCTACACTGGCAGCTGATTAGATGGTGCCCACCCAGATTGAGTGTGGGTCTGCCTCTCCTAGTCTAGTGAATGTTAATCTCCTTTGGCAACACCCTCACAGATACACCCAGGAACAATACTTTGCATCCTTCAACCCAGTCAAGTTGACACTCAGTATTAACCATCACA